AGAAGATCGTGGCCGTGGCTGCTGGACATTGGCACACCGCTGCGATCACGCACTCTGGCGAGCTGTGGACATGGGGATACAATATTAATGGCCAGCTCGGCATTGGGGACACCACGGATCGCCATGCCCCAGTGAAGGTGAGCGTGAACGGCCAGAAGATCGTGGCAGTGGCTGCTGGGTATTTTCACACCGCTGCGATCACGGACTCTGGCAAACTGTGGACATGGGGCAACAATGATGCTGGCAAGCTTGGCGCTGGGGACACTAGGGATCGCCACTTGCCGGTGAAGGCGGCCGGCCAGGGTCAGCGAGACGCATATTCCACTGTGCTGGTCTCCGCGTCGCCGTGCATCAAGTTCGTTGGGCGAGGCCTTCCTGGCTGTAACATGGGGATCGAAGATTCCCGTGCCCCGTGAGTGTGGCGTGATGCGCAGCCAGCTTGCTGTTTTCCTGCAGAAGTGCCACGTGCATGTGGGCGCTTGGGAGGCAACACCATGCCCCGCGGGCTCTTTCTGTCCGAAGGAGCAGGTCGCACCCTGCTCAGGTGCGCAGCGGTGCCCAGCGTGTTTCTTTTGCACCTCGCCTGAACATGTAGCCACAGAGGGCGCCGTGTGAATTGTGCGCAAGAATGTCGCTTGGACGACTGGTCCCTCACTAGGATCGTGCCCGATAAACATGGATACTGAACCGAGGCACCGAAGGCTCAGAGGCACCGACGCCGTGCAAAGCTGGGGTTTGGTGCCCGGCCGGGAGCGCAGGTCCTCCTGGCAGCAAAGGCCACTCGGGTGCTTTGCTGACATGTTCTGTCTCTTGAGTCGTCTCGGCAGCCAACCGTGTCTGCTTTTCCATTCTACATCCTCTGACCCCAGTATGCAAAAGACTTCGCTTCTCAGCCAAGCCTGTCGCACATTCACTCATTGTCAACGCCTGTTCATATATCTTGCCACAATCCTGCACCCTCCAGCTCCGAAGCATCTTCCCAGCTCTTTTGCACAGTGCCTGTGTTTATGTCTGTGTGAAGTAAGTACAGCTGGCATTGCTCTGAGCTTAGCACGAGCACGCATCGAGCCTCGTACTTCCTTGTGCCGAAGCCTAAGCCGAACCGTGAGTTCGATACCGCCCCATCAATGCAGAGACTCCAAGTGGGGTTTTGGAGTCTTTGCGACCCCCGAAGCCTTTGGACCCGAGGCGCAGCTGGCGAAGCTGGGTCTGCTGGCGACACGCGCGGTAGCCAGTCGGATGGCAACAGCACGGAGGCGGAGAGAGCACGAGGCGGAGAGGGAGAGAGAGAAGCCGAAGCAGCAATGCAGGATAAACCGATGTGTATACACACAATACTGTAGATTCGTGTATGTAGGCTACATAGGTGGCTGCTGCTCGGCACGGTTTACGAAGTTTTCCTTCATAGCCAGCCGCATTGCTCCTCGGTCAGGTGGCAGGGACACTGCCTGGGACTTCCGTGGTACAGAAGCTGTGGGTCTTTGGCCTGGCTTAATGATCGTCTCAGCCCTGTCTGCCATCTCCTTCAGTGTTTTCGTTGGCTTTTTTTGGTGTAGCAGCCCGGTGACCCAGTACGACCATCACGAGTTCAACAGCTGGGAGTATGTCGCGTATGTGCCTCCGGGTGAAGAGGAAGTGAACGGTGCACGTGTGTAGGGGCTGTTGTTCTGAGCCGATGGAATTCGCAGGATGTCTTGGCACAGATGTCCGGGCGCAAAGGTACGGTGCCAGCCCCTCCGTCCTTGAACGGTGGTGGGGTCGTGGGCGAAGCTCATCTCGAAGTATGAGCTCCTATGAACCACGCGACGCTGCTAACTTGCTAACCTCCATCCCGCAAATCGTTCACTCCCCACAGGAGAGCACAAATAGGAGTCCACTACCGCATTACGGTTTGCAGCCTTAAGCCCTGTGTTGCCATGTTTGTTCTTGCGCGTAAAAGTATATTTCGGTATGTTAGAGGAAATCGCAGAGGCACCGTGGCAGTTTCTCGTTTGAAGCCGCCAGGAAAAGGTATTGTGCCACTGTGCAACGCTTGCTGGGCGGTGCTGTTGCAGATGTTCGTGCTCAGAGCCCTCTCAACCACAAGACAATCCGAAGCCAGTAGTCCCTAGCAGCCCTACAGCCTTTGAGCCCCGGAGCCCGAATCCCGAAGCCCGAAACGCCCTGAAGTGACAGCTTGGCTGCGCAGGCTTCCAGCTTCGAAGTCCCTGATTTTGCGAGGCTGCATCTCACTCCGGAGGCCACGGCCAAGTTTTTCTAGAAAGGGTTTAGGGTTTAGGGTTTAGGGTTCTAGAACCGCAATCCCTAGACCCCCACCGCTTGGCAACAAGTCCTTGGAGCCGGGGCCTGTCTAAGCTTCAAGGTATGGGTACGGGCATCGTCGAAGGTTCCGAGTTTGAGGTTGAGGGTTTAGGGTTTGGAGCTGCGTAGTGCATGCAAAGGTGTGGTTTGGACTGAGTTATGGCTGAACAATCGCGGTTAGGAATGGCTTTCAACAACTTTCCGGTTGCTTGGTCAAGGCAGATCGGCGGATCGAGTACTGATCTCGAAGCTCCTGCAGCGTGTAGGGTTTAGTCAGGGTCTTCAACCCTCCTTAAGCCCTCTCGCGCCCTAGGGCTACTGATCTGTCAGCTTCTGTTTGAGCCCTCGGTGACCATCTGCCGCAGGTAGCTTAGGATGACGCGTTGCAGGTATGGCAGCGATGATGTCGCCCATGATGGAGGTCACGAATTGGGCCGCCGTGAGCGGCTCCCGAAAAGCCGGTAGTGTTTTGGAAGCCAAGCTTCCCTGATGTCATGCAGCTTCCTCTAGTTTCGTGCTCTGAGGTCCGAATAGGGGCGTGAAGAATGGTAGGTCTTTGTGCAGTTCGGACTTTGAAGCACGTATCGTGTGCCGAGAGAACGAAGCAAAGAGGCCTTGGAATTCTCGGCGTCATGTCCGGTCGGACACGCTGATTGGCCGACTCGGTTACGTTTCAGCCAAAAATAAGCTGGCTGCGAAGGTTGTGCATGGTTGCACAGTGCAACATGGGTCATAATGACAAGGACGACGAAGTTTGATTGCTCGAAGTCGGAGGTTTCCGGTTCGTGTCTCAGGCTCCCTTGGGCAGCGTCTCCAGTGCCGGACTCAGAGAGACGTGCTCGGCCGCCGGAAAGCCCAAGCCCGAAGGCTTGCGTGATGGGAGTTGGGCGGGGCTGAGGGTTCAGGATCCGCGGAGGTTTGGGGTTTCACGTCTGCTTCTTAGGTCTAGGTTTAGGGTTTCAGGTGTTTTGTCGGGGTTTCGGGTTGAGTCACTGATGGGAAGCACGCGCCTTGAGCCCGAGGTGACACCTACCAGCTCCCGAACACCACCAACCTGCATGTTCACGGCCAGGAGCTCAGCGAGTGAAGAGCGACAAGTACAGTGCCGTGACTAATTAGAGAGCGGACTTTCAGCAACTGGTCGCGACGATCACTTTGATGCTGCGGAAGTTGACCGTGATGATGATGGTGGTGGTGCTGATGATGATGATTCTAGTCTAATGATGTTGTTGATGATGGTGATGGTGATGGTGATGATGGTGAGGATGAGAGTGAGGGTGAGGATGAGGATGAGGGTGATGGTGTTGGTGATGATGATGAGGTGATGGGCCACAGACAAGCCACGTTTATGCATGTTTATGCTATCCAGCTGAGCAGGCCTTTGCCGGAAACCCTAAGTACAAAGCTCCTAAGCCATAGCCATGGCTCAGATTCTTCGTGCATGTTCTTAAACCAAAGACAGCCCCCAACCTCCGGAAATCCCTACCTAGGCCCATACCCTCTACACCCTGCACCCCTTTCTCCGTGCCACATGGGTCAAGTGTTGATCCGCAGCCCGACATCTTAAGGCCTGGCTCTGGGCTTTTATAGGGGTTCCGAACTTTCCAAGAAGGGTTTTCATAAGGGTTCCAAAAACGGTGTAGGGTTTCCGGCTGTGAAGACCAAATGCTGGGCTTTACATCCTAGTCCCAAAGGCACTCTTCCCGCGCTGAGGACTTCACGTGTCGCCCCAGTCTCCTGCAGACAATGTCTTTGCGAAAGTCGGGCCGGGCACGTCCTCCGTGTGACTTTCATGGCAGTTCGTTGTCCGATTCAGGGATTTGGGGCATGGGGTTTAGGGGTTTGGGGGTCTGGAGTTGAGGGGTTAGGTTTCAAGGATTTAGCGTTCAAGGTGTTGTTGTTGTGTGGAGTTTTAGGGTTTCCGGGTTTCTGGGCTTCGGGTTCAGAGGGGTTTTAGGGTCTGTTATACTACAGGATGACTGGAGGGGGACTTTGGTGTTTAGGGATGTAGGGGCCCGGGTGTTGGGATCAGGGCAGTCTTAAAACCCTACGGTAAACCCTAAACAGTTTAGGGTTTAGGGTTTAGGGTTTAGGGGAGTGGGATCCCCTTTTCATCACGGATCCCAGATTCTTCAAGCCAAAGCCTTTTGGTCGGGTGGGGGAGGCGTCCATTCTTCGAGCCGCCACATTATCGGTCCTTATAAGCAGGGCTTCGTGTTGAGAACTCCAGTTTGCTGTAGGATTCAGTAGGGGACCTCGGGTTGCAAGGGGCTCGGGGGCCGCGGCGCGTCGTATTTTTTCGCTTGGTATTCGGGTTGGGGTTGAGGATTAAGGCTCAGGGTTTAGGGTTTGGGGCAGCTTAGGGTTTAGGGATTTAACTGTAACACTCTTTACAGTTTGGCAGCCATTGCCCCGGAATCAGTAGGTAGAACCCATAAAGCTGTAGGTAATTGCAGTCCCAGGTAGGGTTTAGGGTTCAAGATTTGGGGTTTGCCTGTAACCGAAAGACCTCCTTTTTTGAAGAAACTATATATAGAAGCCATAATCAGGAACCCTAAACCCTAAACCCTAAAAAGGTAGGTCTTTTCGGCCACAGGTAGGGTTTGGAGCAGCTTCGGGTTAAAGGAGATGAGCCTCAAGCGCTGCGGTATGGGGAAGCATCATTGGCCCAAAATTTTGCAGCAGGAAAGCTTACTTCCTGATACCCTGAAGAGGTACCGAACCCCAAACCCCCCAAGACCCCTAAATCCTAACCCTAAACCCTGAACCCCTAAACCCTAAACCCCGAAGCCAGAGCCCAGCGAAGCCTAGGCCCTCCGAAGCCTGAAACGCCGAGGTATGAACCCTCAACCCTAGACCCTAAACCCCTTAAGCCCTAAGCCCTAAACTCTAAACCCTTAAGCCCTTAGCCCTAGACCCTAAAGCCCTTAAATCTAAACCCCGAAGCCCTAAGCCCTAAACCCATGA